AACAAACAAAACATAAAAACATCAGCTTTCTTTCATAAATATATACAAACAGTGTGTCGGTTGGTTTATCAGTTTTTGTGCATTCATTTCGTAGTCTCAATTACAGTTACGTTACATAATAACTCATATTATCAATCAAAAATTATATATCCTAGTATCACTATGAAACAATCATTTGACTATAATTTTATTCATTCATACTTAATGAGATAACTATAATTTACGTAGTTTATTTTATAACAAATCATATAGTCATACCAAATCTATCCTAAAAACATTTTATAGATATAATATCAAATAACAAAGAAAAGAAAAAATATCTTTTTATATATTCCTTATTATCTAAAATTCTAAATATTCTATTATTGTATTTTATCATCCAACCATTGATAGAAAAGGTCCCAAATTTTATAGAATTGTTTATCCTCTTGATCTCTAATTTCAAATGTCAATCTACTCATCTCAGCACATTCCAATATTTTCTTAATAATTTCTTCCTGCAATGGTATTTTCTCATTTTTCCAATTTTTAGCAAATACAATCCTAGCCGCTGTTAATACATTTACAATCAAATATTTCAAGTCTTTACTGTATGTATCAGGTAAGATTCCCAATAAAAAGATCTCTGGTTTCAAATCTATGTGTTTCTTTGTCATTTTTTCCAACCACATGCGAATTTTAGTCCAGTATTTTCTAGCGTCCTCACAAGTCCACCACATATGGTAATATGAGCCGGGTATCTGATGACATTTCCAGCATTTTTCAGATTTATTCTTGAACATTCTTGCTATTCTTGTCGGGGAAAAGTGCCACCTGTAAAACATCTCATACAAATTTTCTTTATAAGCTATTGACATTGTCATTTTATAATTTTGAGACCACAATTTTTGCCATTTCTCTAAATCAATCCCATATCCAAAATTCTTCCCCCAAGCAATCATAGTTTCTTTAACTTGTTCTTCCTCTAGTTTAATTCCCAGTAAATAACCGTATAATTTTTTAATCACCTTTTCATCAGTACCTGTCAAAATCTTATCTAGATCAGTCAGTTTATCATAGAATCCCTCTGTTTTAGAATCTTGTGAACGCCGATAATGTTGATCTGTAGTGGCTGGAACCCTTCTTTTTCTAGTAGGGTTGGCAAGTTCTGGTCTACTATGGTGAGTGGTAGGTTTCCTTGAAAATGGCCGTATTTGATGTGTACTGTTTTCTGGCCCAGTACAGGTATGCGGCAGCCCTGGTAGTCTCTTAATATAATTGGCTGTATTTCCAATTGGTCGCACCACAGTTTGGATTGGAGTCTTTTGAGAGTGTCCCATGAGATCATGGACATGTAGGACCCTGAATCCACTTCCATCAGGCAGAGCTTGCCATCGATGGCTACTGTGGCCATTACTTTGTTGGCCTCATAGGCATCAGCGTGTCTCACCTGGGTCTGGGCATAGCCAATGAAGGTGAAGTGTGCTTCTTCTTCCCTGGCGTCAGCTCTCCTTTTGAATTTCCCACCAGGAGCCTTTCGCCCTCCCCCTTGGTGGCCATTTTGCCTCGGGGGAGTTGATGGTCACCTGCCTTGTTTGTTTGTCAGTTGGATGGCCTGGCATACCTCTGCAATGTGGCCTCTGTGCTCAGATCTTCAGCAGATAGTGTCTTTAAAACAGCATGCCGAGGGGTGATGATATCCTCCACAACCCACGCACTGTTCATTTCTGGGTATCCTGTCTGGCTTACTGGGCTTCACCTTGTGCATGTCCTCGTCTTCACCCTCGCTTGCTTTGGAGGTGGAGTTGCATCAGTTAGGGTGCCGATTGGTCTTGGTTGCATGGATCCTCCCTGTTCCTCGGATACGCACTACCGAGTTGTCTGAGGACTCTGCGGCTCGTGCTTCATCAATGGCTTCTTTGAATAAGACATCCTCCTGGGCCAAGAGTTTCTTCTGTAGTGCAGGTTCCCTTGTTCCCAGGATGATTCAGTCTTGGATCATTCCTTCGGTGTTGGGGAACTTGCAGTTTTTTGCTATCTTCCACAAGTCAGTTATGAATGTGTTTATCATCTCCCCCTCACTCTGGATCCACGTGTAAAAATTTCACCGGCTTGCCAGGTAGGAAGGAGAAGGGCCGTAGTGTCCCTTGAGTGCCTGTTTGAGTTCATCCCAGGAGACACTCCGCAGGTCATCCGCTACTAGGGCATCTGCCATCTTGTAGATTTCGGTGTTGCAGTAAGTCAGGAATAATGCTTTTTTTGTGCATTGGGGTCTGCTTGGAGGCCGTTGACTTCCAGGTGCAGGTTGAATTGGCCCATGTATGAAGACCATTTCTCTCTTGCCGGGTCATAGGGGATCGACATTGGGTGGTGTGCCAGGCTGTTCGATCGTTGAGCCATGTTGGTTGGCAGGGTTGCAATTGTTGCGATGGCCGGTAAAATGGCATCTGAATCCCATGAGGTGTCCTTTGTTCTCTCTGCAGCTCAGGATCCTACCTTCGTCGCCAGTGTTAGATGGGTCCGCGGTAATAAGAGGCAGGACACAGCAGGAACAGGCAACAGTCTTTATTTTTGTAGCCGGTGCTGTCCAAGGTTTCAGCCACTGACGGGGCTTTATTTCTCCTGCCAGTGGCTGGGCCAATGAGTGGAGTCTGTTAACTGACTCCACTCTATGGCCATATTAGATAATACTTAACAAATAACTCATCTAGTATTGTTTCCTGTCTGGTCTACTTGGGAAGGCTGATAACAATTTTGAAGATCTGATAATACAAATCTCTCACCATCTTTTTACAGTCTGAGAAGTGGTGGGGGGGTTCCCTTCTGAGATTCTTTATCCATGATGTAACTGCAGGCTATGCCTTCTCTCCCTATGATAAGATCTTATCTAATCATTCCGTTAGTTAGCATCTTTCTCTCCCCTCCCCCAGTCTCCCAGGATCATTCTCACAAACCATTACAGGCAGAGGGTGCTGTCTGAAAGGTTCACCCCCTGCTAAATACTAGTCTGTTTCTGGTATAAATCAGTAAAAGACAACAGCTTTTAAAGCCTCAATTGATGGCACCTACTTAAGGGTGGAAATAGAAGTTTTAACCCTGGCACAGATAAAGATGGCTGCATTGCGGTTAGATGCAAATGGGGAAAAGCTCTAAGCTAAAGAGAGAGTGATTTTCATGTACTTGAAAGCACCCTGTGCATTTTCAGTGATTCTTCAGCTTTCACTTATCTTCGTGAACCCTCAGTGTAAGGTCTATAGAATGCTGCTGGTGGAGGAACCTCTAGGTTCAACCCAAAGCCTCAGGTTAATGTCCTGGAATTTAATTTATTCCTCTCACAAGGGCCAGTATTCAGTAAATGGAGCTCATCGGGGTGGCTTTCTATCATACCAGACAATGCTGCTAAAACTGAGCACATGGTTTTGGTTCAGGTTATAAAAATGTTGCAGTTTTCCAGCTACCACCCTTCTCTTCAACACACTCCAGCCAACCAAGCATTGCAGGCCACAGGAAATCCTTTCTGTAATGTTGTTGAGCCCTTGTGATGCGGTTTGACTAAAGGAAGCAAGTGTGAGGCACAGCAGAAGCCCTGTGAATCTATATAATAGCATTGCAAACCTCTATTACCACCACTTTCCTATTTATCTCCAAATGAACCTAATTGTTATTTGTTCTCCATCCATGGTTATCCAGAAACCTTTTTCCTCCTATACATAATAAGAAGAGTTATATTATTCTCAGTTTTACTTTAATTCCCTAGCATTAAAAAAGTAGCATCTTCCACTGAGGCAGCCTGCGATCTCCAGGGGAGTTGATACACCAGGAGATACATTTCATGATAAAGATATTAGAATGATGTTTTTCATGACATTTGGAAGCCCACTGTGAAGCCCACAGTTAGCTCACTGTGACTAAGACAGTGAAGTGTAACCTAAAGCCACACAAGTGATACTCTGATTCAGAAGCTGCACTAATAAGTAGTTGTTTCCAGGTTTGGTAGACAACTCTAAATTCCTGCAAGGCTTAGGGGCTGGATAGCAATGGAATCATCTTCTTCCAATGGCTTCAATCTGTCAGATAAGGTCTGACAGGGTCAGCATGCTCTGGATGCCATCTGTGAAATACTACCATCTCACAGGAGGTCTCATTCCATTGTTCTTCTTTTCTTGAAGGACTTACACATGTCATTAGACATGTATAGAGATTTAAGAGCTACTGAAAAGTCAAAGAATCTAGAGTCAGGGAGTTTTTCAGTGATGTGAAAGTGGTTATGAGAGAGGCACATGTATGTATCTGTTGACCAGAGTTGGCAAATAATTTATGAAATAAGAGAAAATAAGGCCTAACTGGCTTAAGCCATTTCAACATCTTTTGTTATCCCTGCTTCTTCAGTCAAACTTTGCTGGGCTCTGCATGACCACACCATCTATATAGCTTTTGCAAAAGCATATTTGTTTATTTTAGAGATACAAAACCAGTCTTTCAATTCCAAAAAAAAAAAAATAAGGTTATTTACTATATGAAAAGCCTTATAGTATCAAGTCATAGCAATACCACAATAAAACACAAAAGAACAGGAAGTAACCGAATATCAGTCAACCAACTATAGCAGCAGGATGCCAAGCTTAACTCTCCAAAAAGCCTGGAAGATAAGAGGTTTTGACCAATCTCTCAAGAGTGAAAGCTAAGAAGCCAATTAAATTTTCCAGGGCTTGATCCTGCTAGTGAGATTATCCCAGAATGTCTGCAGAGGAGGTTAAAAAAAAAGATTATGCTGCAACTGCATGATCAAAATCTTAGCCCATTTTTACATGCTACACAGATAAAAAAGGACTTCAATTGGCTGTTGACATTTTGGATCTTCCTTCTGCTACCCCACAGACACTTCTGCCAGCTAACCTAAATCCTGCAAGGCCAAGAGGCAATGAGAAAGCCTCCATCTAAACTGATAAAAGCTTTAAAGGTAATATAAAAACTTTGTTGGGAAATAATCTGGAAACCAGTGTAATTTAAACAAGGTGCAATATAGTGTGGACACATCCCTGGCTGCCATACTCTATCATAGCTCTAGTTTTCAAGTCCTATTTCACAGCAGGCCCATAAACAATGTATTTGACACATTAATCTTTGGAATTTTATTTTATCAGACACATACAGTAGCTGTTCCATTGAAATTGCTTGGTGCCCTTCTCTAGGAGCCTGGTTTAGGCCAATGTATAATGATCTCATTCAATACAGGATTGGGAATTAATGCATTACCTTCTTATTTAACAAAAGGCAGAATGATTTTTTGGAGCACTAAGGCAGATGTCATTTTGGTTAGAGAAGTTTTACTTTTAATCATACCTTCACTATTAAGGTAGCCATGCACCCATATTTCAAAAAGTATCACATCTCTTCTGCTTTCAATGATATTTGAATGCTTCTGTTTCGTTATATAGTCCTCTTTTCCTTAAGGGATATAATGTAATCAAATCTGATTGTTCACATGGTTTGGCAGGATTTACCCTGTTTAGTACATAATTCCTGATTGGGTAGCACGAGCCAGTGACTAATCCAGGAAATACTGCCCTATTTGGGCATTACAGTACTAACACAATCATGTGGTCCTATACCATTATATGGATATTCCTATGTTAATGCAGCAACTGTGCAGAAGGAAAAGCAGCTAGGCATTCGTAGAAGAGAATGGTTAATATAAAAACCCCTTCCAAGGTCCTTTAGTAGGAGGTGAGGGAGAAGCATCAGAGAATAAATAAGGCCTAAAGGCTCATAGTGGCAATGTCTATCCAAGTACTAAATGGCTTCCTGGGCTTTGAAGCCAATAATAAAGGAATGGATTTATTCCTGACTACAGGACCCATGTCATAGTCAGCAAGCTGCCCAGTCATTCAAGCTTAGCTTACATTTGACGTTTCACTGCAGTGATAAGCAACAATCACCAACACAGGAAGCTCCTTGGCTCAACAATGCTGTGTCAGTATAACTATAAAACGGCCATTCTGGAATGTGGTTCATCTATTCAAGATGAAGTGACTCATGAGTAAGCCCTTCAAAATCTTGATCCTGAATTTAGGGGCCTCTCTCTACTGCTGAGTTGAAGTGCTGTCCACCCATCTAAGTCCCCCCAGGCAGAACGGGTCTCTGCTCAGAGTCCATCCCTGTCCTGCCTTTATTACTTTTCACAACTACCTGTGTTTCCACTCACAGGTAGTTTCCCTGACTTCACTCCAAGAGTGACTCTGGAAGGATCAAAATAAGAGAGGAAAACATCATTCCAAGGCTTTCTCGGTGCCGGGCTGCTGAGAACAAGACCAAGGCAAGGAACAAGACCATGGGGACAAGGAAGAACATAGAGACTGCCAGGGCAAGTTTATGCTGTAGGTAGGTCCAAGTGGGGAAAGGCTCCTGTACATACAGCAGCTTTTCAGAGACCATGCGGTGGTGTTACATTGTCATCTCATTTTCTTTGTCCACCATGACTCCTTACAGACTGACTTTGCAGGATTTTACAGCATTTCAAATAATAATAATAATGTATTAAAAATAGCGTTATCCCTCCCCACCCTCCAAATAAGTGCACTTGTTACTTAAAACAGGCATTCACTTGGGATGCCAGTCATGGGTGACTAATGGACAGTCCAGCCAAAGAAATGTCAGGTAACTCTTTGAAGAAATAGAAGTTCTCCTATGTCCTCCCTCCCACACCAAATATTTTTTCACCCTTTTTTATTTTGGTCATGGCCAGCCAACAGTTGATCAAACATTTTTTTTCCTTCTAAAAAATGAGCAGACCTCTTGCCCTTCCTTCAATATATTTGAAAAATGTCTGAAGCAACACTAAGAGATGACCCCACTACGGTACAAGGAAGGGGTCCTTCTCATTGCTCAACTAAAATCAAGTCTGTGCACAGCCTTACAGCCTTTAGATCATGAAGGTGCCAAAATGTGATACTGAGTCATCCTTGTACAACAACAACTCCTGTTTTGTTATTTTGATGAACACTTCTTCCTCCTCTTCTAGATACACCATCCCAGCAAGGAAGCTATTGCCGTGCCACTGTTCACTGTCCTTAGAGTTGCAATAGGTAATGTAGTTGGTCAGCAGTAATATCTTCTCAGGATAGCGAGGTGTCCTTTTGTAAATGTGGTGGGTGAAAAGGGAATTTCTCTGGTGTTTGGTTAGACAGCTTGAATACATCAAGCTGAGCTTGGAATAGACATAGTAGTAGCCAGACTTGCTGCAAATCAGTGAACCAGCTTTGTAGTCCATGTCATGCAGAAAGGCAAGCCCGTTCTGATGTTCCCACTGCAGGACTCCATCTATAAGCGCAGTGTCAGGGAGTTCTGGAAAATACAACCAGACTTATTTCATAGATGGGCGGGGAGGTAAGCAAACAATTTTCATAGAATCTTCACTAATAGATCAGCAATGAAAACTAATTTTAACAATCTGGCTTCAAAACACACACATACCCACATACACGCATAGAGAACACTGAACACTGGAGAATCATTGCCTCAATTTAAGCTGAAACTTCATTTTGGGAAGGGAAAGGGCAGTGAGCTCTGACTTTACTTCCCTCACCCCCACGGCCACGTTCATTTCAACATAATAGCCTCACATATGGATGCTGTTTTACTGTAGATATGAGACATCCACCCTCACTGGGTGATTTTAGTAGATAATTCCTCTCTCTTTCTTAGTGTACCCTCCATCACAGGGAATAAATTGAAGGAGTACCATCTTACTCTCCTGGAAGGAAAGTGGAACAGAAATCTAACAGAGTTTAGCTTTAGCTGTCTGTGTTAGCTTTGCGTATATCTAAAGCAGTGTTCCTCAGTCTCAGCAATTTTAAGATGTAGACTTCAATTCCCAGAATCTCCCAGTCAGGTCTCAAGAATTCTGTCTTATTCACAAGCAGCAAACTAGTCCTACTTCAGCTTCCATGCATTTAAAAGCTGAATAAAAATATGACTTCATAAGAAGATTTCCTACCTAGTGTCAGATGAGCAGATGGTCTTTTGAGAGGAAGCTTGGGTGGAGCTGTTGAAAGGAATAAGATGAAACTGATTGTTATCAAAACAGGTAGCTTGAGAAGGCTCTATACAAACTCAATGCAAGCTAACGAAGGCATATTACGAGCACTGCAAATGATAGAATGCAATTATATATTGAAAAATAAAATGCACTAATTATATGCACTAAAGCTATCAATAACACAAAACTCCCTTTCATGACCCTATTGACCCTATTCGGGTAGAGTCTGGACGATTAGATGGAGCTGAGTATTTGCTGGCTGGATGTCCTTCCTGACACCTGTGTGGAGTTTGCTGCAGATATTTTTTTTCTGTGCACCCTAGAAGAGAAACATCTGCTACTACCTAGGATTTCAACTTTCCGAGTGGGAGGCAAGTGTTTTCACCACTAGGATCTCCTGTTCTGTAATTGTCCTGTAATTTGGGAGCAAGAGATGACATTTTCTCCCTGCATTTGCTAACTAGACTTTGAAGAGTAGAAGCATCTTTCTGAAGCAGGACCTGGTACCAAGACAGGTGCAGAATGGAAAATGTAGTCATTCAGATAATCAGGCCCTGCTGATTAGGACTTTGTGAATCAATGTCAGGGACTTAAATTGTGCATGGAAAATGATGGCAGTCTAGGTATATTCTTCCCAGAACTGATGGGAATGGAAGAAGAGCATCGTGTTTCTCTTTCCTATTCAATTGGCCCAACCAAGGTAATTGTCAAGTAATTTTTGAGAAAGTTGCATGGCCTGGCTAGACAGATTGTGTATATTGATGTTTCACTTGCTCATTCAGCCTTTACTGGTCTGGTTGTGTTCAAAAGTTTCAAGATTACAACTCCCAGAATTCCAATAGTTATGCTATTTGAATGTCATATTTCATTGGGGAGATCTGGTGGGAAAAACAATTCTTGAACAGTAATTCTTGTGGCTTGTTTGGTAATAGACATTTCTTGCTTTTACTCTTTCCACTGCTGTTTCTATCAAGATGTATACTGTATGTCTTTTTTATAGATCCTCCACACTCCTACAGTGTCTCACCCACAGCGTTTCTCCATGCTTATAATAGATTACTATGAATTGTTCCATTAATACATTATACATTATTCCTTTAAACTATGGAAAAATTGACACAGTATGTAACCAGAATTGTAACTGAGAGGGTGGGTAATGGAAGGTGTCAGTTTAAAGACTTGATTTGATTTTATAGAGTTGCTATTGTATGGAGTCTTATTATATAGTGAAAAACCGATCAAGATTTCACTCTAGTTCCCTAACCAAGTCAACTTTTTTTCCCTCTTTAATCTTGTCTATGGGGATTCTCAACCATCCAGGTTGTAGTTTTTCCAAAGGTTCTGTTTTCAAAAGGCAACTGGACTTGCTTGGTTTTATTTTTTCTTTTGAAAGCTTTTTCAGTTCTGATAACGAACTGAAGAAACTTCTTAGTTGAGAAACAAAATGTTTTCAAAGGGGGAAAAAAACTCAAGGCAGTCCAGTTGCCTTTTGGAAAAAGCAGTTTTCTTCCTAGTGTTTTCCCCACAGTAAGCTTTTTCTTTTTTAACCAACTGAGTGCTGATGTTTGTGGCAGGATTTGACCAACCAGCTTGTCGCCAAGCCTGGCATCATGGGCAGAGAGAAAGGGATCGTCTCAAGGTTACTGAGCTGGCTTGCATGATAAAGTGAGCTTAGAACATACAGTCTCCTGGTTTCTAGCCTGGTGCTAGAAACCAAACTGACTCTCAGCTATCCCTAATAATGGGACCTATAGTTCATGCCAGAATAACACATTCCGGCATGAGCTATCATTCTTCTCTGTGTTTTACCACTTGATGCTCTATCAAAAGAACTAAAAAGGGCCATTAAAGGAGCATTCATCAAGTAATCTTTCAGTCCTCAACAAATCTAACTCTAAGCAGTTTTAAGCAGCTCTTATATAGAGTGAAACATTTTGCCAGCTTGCAAATTATTCAGTCTGGACTGCAGGCTTTCACTCTCAGTCACTATTTCCCTCATTCCTGTGCCCTCCCACCACCTTATTCCAGGAAAGCAATTGCCAATAACTTTTCTTCTTGTCAGTATTGGTCCTGGACATTTTCTATGTCTGTCTGTCTGTCTGTCTGTCTGTCTGTCTGTCTGTCTGTCTGTCTGTCTCTCTGTCTCTCTGTCTCTCTGTCTGTCTCTCTGTCTCTCTGTCTCTCTGTTTGTCTGTCTACCTATCTTCTATCTATCTATCTATCTATCTATCTATCTATCTATCTATCTATCTATC